CTACACGAGTACTACAAGCTAAGGAAACGTATAGGAGCAAAGGGTACCAACGGAGTTGTTATAGTAAGAATAGATGATCGTGAGAAGGAAGTATAAAAGGGTGTTGATAGAAGGATGAGTTCTGAGCAAATTTCGGGGACGAAATTTTGATTAGGGTGGAGGTAATGTTACACCCCGACCTTTGGGTTCAGGTTCGACCGGTAATTGTTTCAGCTCAGGTTTGGGTTAGGTGATACGTGATAATTAATGAATTAAAAAAATAGAAAAATTTCCCAAATTCCACCTGTTACCTTCTCCCATTTAACCCCCACCATTAATCTCATCACCCCACCGTTACCCATTCCTCCCCCCAACCCTAGTCGGTTTCACAAGGAGTTTTAATTATAAGCTAACCCAAAATTCTCCAAGCAGCGATTCATCATCCCATATTCCCATTGATGCGTTAGGTAGTTATTTACTATCATCGGAAGGTAAAGGCAAAGCCGAGGGAAGACGGGTTCACTAACCTGATGCAAGGGCCGAGAGAGAGAGGAGCGCCCCACCATCATTTGATGCTGTCCACATCGATGGAATTGGCCAGCCGGAAGAGCGACTGGAAGAGGCGACGCGGTGCGGTGGCGGCATCGGGAACCAATCGAACTCTGAGGTAAGGATCGAGTTCCCTCGAAAATAATACAATCGATGGTGATATTGATGATTGATCGGGATTGGATTAAGTAGCGATTGTCTGATTGATGTCCCCTTGACTTTGAAGAAGGGTTATTTTGATTTGGGTAACAACATTAAGAACACGAATAAAAAAATTGGTTGGATACGGATACGGGAGCTCGACGTATAATTGGATGCTTCGTTGGTTCTCGTTCGATGCAGAAAGCAAGCGTAGATGCCTTGTGGGGTGAAACAAGTCGATAAAGCAAGGAGGTTAGCGGCGGTGCTGGTTGTTAATTTTCATAACCGGGCGGCGTTGATAAAAGGTTTGGAAACTCCTATAGGTTAGTATTATGCGGTGCAAGATTATGGTGCATTGAGTACGTTTTCCCCATGATTATATCACAGTTTTGGACTATTATGCATGGGAGGAGGAAGGAACCATTCCTGGCGGATGTTAATAAGGTTTAAATGGCTTCTATGGTTGGGTTAGATATGGCAGTAGTAATAAAACATGGAATGGTGATCCAAAGAGAAGTGGCCACAGGGGATCCACGATGATTGAGGTTCATCGATCGGCTAATAAGGTGAGTGTAAAGGGGGTAAATTCTACGCCTTACGGTTTTTAAATATTTGCCTCGAGTATTTGCAAGTATTGATTTATGTGATGTATGTGCAGTGTTTGATTCATGTTTGAGTTGCATGATTATGTTTGATAGTATGTGCTTTGGTTTAGCTATGATTAGAAGAATAGGTTTTTAGTTTATCTCTTACTTTGAAGTTTACATTTATGAGTGATTATTAAAGCTTAAGAACAAGTCACTTTAAGAAGTAACTCACCTTCAAGAAGGTGAAGTCGTTTTAAGTGTTTTTAGTCACTAGCGCCAGTCCGTTGCCATTTGAGATTTTCAGATAGAGCAGCAGTTATGCTCTTGAGATCTTTGAGACAGAGCAACAGTTATGCTCTTGAGACTTTTAAGATGAGCAGCAGTTATGCTCTTGAGAATCGTGGTGAAGAGCCACCACGATAAGTTTAAGATGTTAGGGGGATGAATCGTTACGACTTCCCTAACTAAGTTTAAGTTTAAGGAAAGCTTGAATGGCTTCTCATACGTATGAGTTGGCAACCGGACTAGCTAGTGAGGGATCCCCGTGTCAGTCAAGTATTTAAGTCAAGATTTGAGTTTTAAGAGAGGATAGTAACTTCAACTCCCTCAGAGTTTAAGAGTTAAGGTTTTAAGATTGGAAGTACAAAACAACTTCCACCAGTTAAAGTTAAGTGTTTAAGTAAAGTACTCAAGTATGAGAATTATTAAAACGTAAGGGCGTAGACTGACCCCATCTCACTCACCAGTTTGAAGAGCTAGAAGAGCATTTAGTGAGCAGCGAATTCGAGGGCAGGCAGCTAGAGAAGGGCAGTACCAGCGTCACAGAGGATGTCTAGTCAGAGTTTCACCCAAGCAGCAGCACTTGAGACTAATTAGTTATTATGTTTTATGATTATGAGTATAGACTGGAGATCAAGTTGAGTTTTTTTTTAAAAGTTTGAGTTAAGTTGCCCACGTGTTAGGGCATTTCTATGAACTACAAGAGTGTGTTTTCAGTATTTTATTTATGAAAATTTTTCTCGCTGCAATTTAAGATCTGAGTACTTTATTTGTCAATGGCATTTTAGTAAAAGTAGTACCCGGCCGGGTTAGGGTGTTACACAATAGTTAGATAGAAAACGTTGTGTAAGACTTCTGTAATGATTTAGCTTTTTACGTAACACTCAGTTAGTACTCATTACGTAAGGGACCTTCCATTACGTAAGACTTCCGTAACGACCTTTTACAACTGTTACGTAAAATACACATCCATTACGTAAAGGTTACAGAATGATAGTTATTTCTTACGTAACAGTTAAAATGGAAGCGTTACGTAAGGCTTCCGTAATGACTTAGCTCTTTACGTAACGCGACACCAATACTCATTACGTAAAGGGACCTTCCATTACGTAAGACTTCCGTAACGACCTTTTACAACTGTTACGTAAAATACACATCCATTACGTAAAGGTTACGGAATGATAGTTATTTCTTACGTAACAGTTAAAATGGAAGCGTTACGTAAGGCTTCCGTAATGACTTAGCTCTTTACGTAACGCGACACCAATACTCATTACGTAAAGGGACCTTCCATTACGTAAGACTTCCGTTACGACCTTTTACAACCGTTACGTAAAATACACATCCATTACGTAAAGGTTACGGAATGATAGTTATTTCTTATGTAACAGTTAAAATGGAAGCGTTACTTAAGGCTTCCGTAATGACTTAGCTCTTTACGTAACGCGACACCAATACTCATTACGTAAAGGGACCCTCCATTACGTAAGGGTTACATACGACAGTTATTTCTTACGTAATAGTTTAATCAGCAGCGTTACGTAAGGCTTCCGTAATGACTTTACACTTTACGTAATGCAATGCTAGTATTCATTACGTAAAATAACCGTCTATTACGTAAGGCTTACGTAATGGTGCTTTACAACTGTTACGTAAGGTTACCATACGTTACGTAACTATTACGTAATACCTATTATATTTTACGTAATGCAACCTGTGAAACCTGCTAAAGCAGGTAAAAAAATTCAAGTTACCTTAGTTCAAGTTACCATAGGAGTTCATATATGTCCAGCTATTGAGTTTAACACTCTCAAAGTGCTGTTTTTTTTTGTAGAATTAAATGCTTTTCCATTTCTGTTTGACTGAAGGCAAATTTATATCTTATAATTTCCTTTAACAGAGGAGCAAATTCCAATCCTAGTTTTCCTCGAGCGGAATATCTCAAGATCATTTGTTGTCTCTGCTGCCTGTCTTGGAACCAGAAACTGAGCAGTTCTTTCTTCGTTGGACAATATCGGACAAAACTGGAAAAGAATATACGGATTGAAAAAAAATCACAAACAGTCACGTGAGTTTACACGTGGATCCACGTATTTACAGTATAATAATAATTATTAGTAATTAATCAGTTCCGTATTTTTGATTCAAAACATCATCAAAATTCGTGTTCTGGAAACATTTTCTACCAAACCGTCGTGTATATATTATGGTACGGTGTGAAGGCATAAAGCAGAACACGGCCGGCGTATATAACTTCAAATACACGTGAATGTTGTTTAGCATATGCATTTCCTCTCAAGTCTCATCGCCCCTTTTCTCCATTTTGCATTTGGTTTTATAGAATTTCATCCTTCATTGTTCATCCGTTAGCCAGCCGATCCTTTTACAACTGTGTTCTCTTGTCCTTTACAAAACTGCACATTGGTTTGGTATAACCTATGGGGACCGACTCTAAACAATATGCATTGTAGATGGACTCAGGACCGTCCCATGATATTTGGAGGTCCGGTTCGATAAAATGTGGTCCTAATTTTTTCTCCATAAATTTATCAAAATTAAAAATTAGTAAATAATTGTAAAAAAATATTTAAGTTCAGAAAAAGATTACATCAGGAATAAACGATCTCGTTTCAAGTTTGACCAAGAAACCAAGACCGAATTCCCAGCCCTAGTAGGTAGGAAAGTATATCTGAAAGGAAGAGAAAATTGATATAGCGCAAAAATTGAATGGAGAAATGAAAATAATCTAAATTGATCGAGAGGTGGGTGCAGGGTTGTCTACTAGATCGTGGAGGCCCTATTTCAAAATCTAGACGTGGTCCAAATCGACCTTTAACTATAATAAAACTAAAATGATTTTAATAACATTATTCAAAATGTAATATCTTTGTATATTGTTTAAATTAAAATTATCTATTATTTTTCAGATTTTCGTATTCTCCATGAGATCCTTTTCAATTGTTATTATAGCTAAAATTGTCTATTAAACACATCATCATACTCATAATCAATCAATCATACACTAAAAATACAACCTACAATATTTGATCAGTAACTAACGAATCTAAGTAGAGGCCTCTAATATTCTGAGGCCCTGTGCCGGAGGGCGGGCCAGCACACCCTCTTGGCCGGCCCTGGATGGACTCTTAATCGAGATTTCAGATTTTTACTTGAAACAACTAATCATGTATGTTGATTAATGAGATTGTTCTATCAAACCCTTGTGAAGAAGTTTGTGACGACAAGTTTGTGTATTTGTTGTGTTTATGAGGGAAAGTGACTAAGACTCCCTTCTGTAGCACCGAGGCTCAAGATTACAAACAGTTATGTGTATTTCGAATGCATAACTATCGTGAAAGGTCTATTGATTGTTGGATTGTATCGATAATAAGATTGCTTAGAACCCGAAAAAAGATATGAGAATTTATGAGAATTATAGATAAAATGTGATGGTCATCTTGTCCCAATAAAGTTTGAGCTTGTTACTTAAAAGATTATGCACTTCTGTAACTCTCATCAATAATTTTTTTTAGGTTTTTTTTAATATGTGATCATTTCGGTACTCAGAAGTATTCTCATTTGATTTTGTTAATATTAATATTTTCAGCCCATCGTTTTTTTTAAACATGCCACCTTTGTACGAACTTTATTAGATGGTAAGCCTCTCCCCCCATTGGATTCAAATTCTTTTGAACTAATTTTTGCATACACAAGCTAGGCCGAGCTGATAGAAATTGGCATATGCCACAGGCAACAAAATATCTGCCGCAGTGGGTGCTTTTCATGTTTAGAGAGCTGCATATAGAAGAGCGCGAACCACATATTCCTCCCCGTTTTTAACTTCAATTATTGATTATCTTTTTCCAGGGTGATTTCATTTGTTTTCTTCTCCCACTGATCAAGCCCAGGGACAAGGAGTTGCCACTTCCCACCATTTTAAAAGCCGAAGCAGAGAGCTCTGCTACCCCCATTCACGATTAAGCTTCAGATTCAACAGCAGCAGTCGAAATAGAGAGACTGAGAGAGTATATTAACTTATACATTCCTTTAGCTCTCCTTGTTCCTTTTCCTCATTTCCCCTCATAAGAACCCATTTCTTCCTGTCTGCAACTTTACCCACACTCTAAAAGGCACCAACTTTCCTAAAACCCAGCTCCCATTTCTCGAGCTCCTCTGTTTTTGTATTCTGCAATTTAGCTCCTCTCTGTTTTGGGGGCTGGTTGTTGATTCCTCGTCTTGAACGAAGCTGTTTGCAACAAGAGGGTAACAAAAAGGGACGGCGAGCTCTATGGGGATGCCAAATTTTTTGATGCAGACGGTGTAAGGAAACCCTAGGGATTTCTTGTTATTTTCTTGTCTGTATTCCAAGCCAGCAGATCCTTTTATCCACCAAAAAAACGAGGAAAAGAAAACCATTGGTACCTATATCGACGGCCATTGTTGGGAATCTTTTGGAAGAAAAAGAGGAGGGGGAAAAAAAACAGAATGGACTTGAACTTGAAGTCATTTGATGCCAAATTATTAATGGGTGCTTCGTCTGAGTTAGCTCCAAGAAGAACCGGACATTCCGCCACCATTTCTTCTGGCGTTAGATTCTCCTCCTCCATCGTCATTTCCAGTCGCAGAGGTACTCTATTAATTAACTCTCCCCTTTTAAAAATATCTCAATTGCTGGAGTTACTGAAGTGAATCGGTTGCAGGAAGTACAATTGTCGGTTCAGCTGGGAGGGAAGAAATGGCGACCACGGCGCCGCGGAGCTACTTCTTCGACATGAGGGATGTTTCGAGGAGTGTGTTCAAGAAGAGTGACGAAGTTCTTGATGCGTGTGATGACGAGTATGGCGGAGTTGTTGTTGATCCAGACCGGCTTCCGGCCAACCAGGACCTTTTCGCATCTTTGCTCCATTCGTCGCTTTCTCATTGGAAACTCAAGGTAACTTGATTTTGATCGTTTATTAGCCGTTTTCCGTGTCAAGCTAGTGGTAGGAATTGGTATGATGATCTCAGACTGATTAACGTTAACACTTAACAGTGGATATCTAATAGACGGAATTGGATAGGCTTTCGTTTGAAGGAATGTGTAGGAAGAAATGAATGACATTTCAGTCTGGTCATTTTCCACTGAATGCTTAATGTGAGACTGTGAAATCGTATCATACCAGCTTGTTTGATGGTTGAACCACATATCGAAAACCAGAGCGGTATGAATTGTGCTGGTATTATAAAGTTATAACAGTTCTAGTCTCGCCGGTTAAACCTCGGATATGGTTTCATCATTGGACTATGGCACATTTCTTTTCATGGTTTTTGTTCAGGGTGTCTCACCTTTGATCTGTAATGTAAAACTGCAGGGGAAGAAGGGGATTTGGCTGAAATTACCTCTGGAAAGATCTCAACTTGTCCCAATCGCCGTACAGGTAATTTGGTACTAGGCATGTAAGCATATATAAATACTTGTTTTGAACAAAGTTGACCGAATGAATAAACCTACTAGGTGTCATAGCAGAAAGAGACTAGTGAATGTGAATACTAATGAATTTAATTTTTGGACAGGAGGGTTTCGAGTACCACCATGCAGAGCCAGGATATGTGATGCTGACTTACTGGATTCCTAAACGACCTTCCATGCTGCCAGCCAATGCTTCTCACCATGTAGGAGTTGGAGGATTCGTCGTCAACGAGAACAACGAGGTACCTACCCTAGGGTGTTACCAGGATTTGAATAGTAGATCTCACAAATCACCATCGATAACAAATCTGATTTCGTATTAAGAACTAGTCCACCTTCCAATAACCCTGAGTTGTACTGATATCAGTATTTTGTTTTTTTGCATTCTGATGAGCATTGCTCCATATCAGTCTTGTCCTTTGTGTTTGGCTAAATCTATGTGATCAATACTTCTCAAGACCTTCACTTGGTGGTGAGTTTGCAGATTCTTGTGGTGCAAGAGAAGTTCTGTACCCCGTCCTTTTCAGGAGTTTGGAAGATACCAACTGGCTTCATTCACGAGGTAACAATCGCTCTGTCCTTTTTCTAGGACTTCTGAACTAAATTTTAAAAGAACAACCACATCAACCTATTTTGATCTTACTCCAAATCTGGTTTTATCTAATCTCAGGCGGAGGAGATTTACTCAGGAGCAGTAAGAGAAGTCAAGGAAGAAACTGGGGTAATGCCAAGAAGCCTTTCCCAATTCAATAACCCATTTTTATCACCTTCCTTCTGTAGCCTGAAAGAGAACTGTATTGCTTGTAATAATCCATTATTTGATTTCCAACAAAGTCTCCTCGTTTTGGTTTATGTTTCTGCAGATCGACACAGCGTTTGTGGAAGTGATGGCATTCAGGTACCAAAACTCTATGCTATTATTAACATGCTCAAGTGAACCAACTTCATGGACATTGACATTGAGATGTGCCTGGTGATCTTCAACCTTCATGATGACTCCCAAATTTGCAGGCATGCTCATAACTTGGCATTCCAGAAATCCGATCTCTTCTTCGTGTGCATGCTGGAACCCTTATCATCTCAGATCAGCATAGATGATGACGAGATTCAAGCAGCCAGAGTGAGTACTTAACCAAATCCGCAAATCCACTTTCTCAAAACTCTTCACTACATCATTTCTAACCCTGAAATTTGCAGTGGATGCCTCTCGAGGACTATTTGGCGCAGCCACTCATCAATGGAGATATAATGTTCAAGAAGATCCTCGACATCTGCATCGCTCGATTGGGGAAGCGATACTGTGGACTCACTGCCCATCAAGTCGTCTCCACGTTCGACGACAGGCAATCTTGCCTCTACTACAATGTCGTCGACATCCAGAATGGAAATGACAACTGCATAGGCCATTGAAAGAAAAAAATGCATGCAGCCGTCGTATGGTCCTTATCTTATCTTACATTACATTGTTGTTTAATTAACCAATGCTATATAAGGTAAATCTAACGACGATTTATGCTGTAAATTGAGTAACTGGGTTGTGTTTGTCACATGTGGGAGAAGAAAAACCATGCTCTGAGGCAAGGTGTACATAACTTTGTGATGGAATAATGAGCTTGGCATTTGGCAGTTTGCGTCATATTTTTCACTATTTGTATAGCCATCAAACCTTATGTTTTTAGGATTGCTGACGAAACCATGTTTCTATTGTGTAAACAAATTCATTCCTATCTATACTATTAGTGAAAAAGCAATGTCAATCTATACATAAATATATTTGTGGCAGATATTTCACTCTACATGACTTATTTTTAATAATCCGATTAGATCAGATTAACCGTAACACTAATTTCATGGTACCACTACATAAGCTTCAAAAATGGCTAGGCCAAACTCCTGTCTAGTGCCTAGCTTACTTAAACATCGCCTAAGTGTTCATAGAAAATTATAAACACTCTAAGTTTTAACATAACAAGTAACAAGCCATTAGTGATTATTTGTCCATTTTTATTTGAGGCATTGAGAAAGCTCTAATTAAAGAAGATTTTCGTTTCTTTGTATCTAAGTCCCCGCCCAAAGCGATGGATGGAGGAAGAGAGACGACGACTGTTGATTTTCTGCGAGTAACGAGTTCTAATTATAACCTAGCTAGCAGTTCATGAGGGGGAGAGATGGAAAATTGTATTATTGATAGGGTTGTTAATGAACCGAGCCGTTCATGAACAACTCGACGTTAGATTTGAGAAAACCTCGCTCGATACTGTTTCGTCTTAATCGAGCCAGCTCGCGGACAACTTCGTTAACTAAACGAGTCAAACTCTAGCCATACCATTTTAGCTCGGAAGCTCGCGAACAAGCTCATTTAACGGTTTGGCATAATGACGAATTGAAATTCATAGACTTTATGTATTGAAATTGAGAAAAATATTGGGTTTTATTTTGCTCGACTTTGCTACAGGTTTGAATGTAATTTTTGTGCTCAGTTCTAGCTCAACCTATCATGAACATTTTATGAGTTGAACTCGATTTTGGACTTGTTAAACTTAATTAGCGAGCCAAGTTCGAGTTTGCATATTAAATCTCATTACGAACTGGAGCTGAGCTCAAGCTTGAAAATATTTTAACGAGCCGAGCCCGAACTATGACCAAGTTCGACTCGTCCCTGATCATTAACAGCCCTAATCATTAATGATTATTGAGCGAACCCCTAGCCATAATTCAGCCTGCCTAGGAGACCGCTTAGTCTCCATCTGCTTCTTGGACGCTATTAATCATAATTAAACTAGCACAACACTTTATCTAACGCTTATATCTAAGACGAAGCTTTCTTCCACCACTTAGCGCTTAATTAAGCCTAGATGCACTTTCTTGAACCTTGCTGCTAAATCATTTACTTTAATCAAAAGGTGATTGACCAAATTGAAAGAAAGAAACCCGCCGCATGCCCGTGTACTGCACACACAGACACCTTTTACTGTACAACGTGACTGAAATTTACTGTTTCAAACTGGCGTGTCCTTCGGTGTGGGCTGGAGTTGGCTGAGGCCTCATTGGGATCTGGCGGGGTTTGGGGGCTCGGTCGGGGTGGGACTGGTCGTTGGCTTTTGGTTGGCCTTAGTTGCGGTCGTTTGGTGGCCCCGGCGCGCGTTGGTCATCAGAGATCGATATTTTACTTTGGCCCGAGCGGGCGCGCGGATCGAGGGTTTTCGGTTACTCTCTGGGTGTTCTGCTGGGTAGGGATCGTTGAGTGGTGGGTTATCTGGCGGGTTTGGGAGAGACTGTGCTGGGGGATGGGATAGCTTAGAGATTGTGGGCCATGAGAGGAACTGAAAAGTTGATTGAAAGGAGTTGTGTTGCTCAGTATCTCTGCATTTGGGTCGTTTGGTGGCTCTGACGCGCGCTCGTCATCAGAGATCTATATGCTGCTTTGGCCCAGGCAGGTGCGTGGACCGAGGCTTATTCAGTTGCTTTGGGTGTTCTGCTGGGGAGGGATCATTGAGCGGTGGGAGATCTGGCGGGTTTTGTGGATGTGTGGATGAGAGTGACATGCCTGGACATTGGAGAGGTGGGTCGTTCGAGAAACAGAAGAGGGTTTCCTGGATACAGAGAGATACCTTGACATGCTTTTTCTCTACTGTATGAAAAGACCGGGTTTTGTTGTCTCTTGGAGGCCTTTGAAAGTCCTTGCGTTGTTCGACGCTGAGAGAGGCTATTACTGTTTTGTGCAGGCTAAGGCATTAATTAATTGAGAGGATCTGTTTCTTTTCTTTTTCTTCAGCTTGGTGCTTAAAGAAAACTTTGCTTCTCTTTGGCATGTTACTCTCTCGCCTTTTGTTATTCACCTCTCCCGCTGCTCTCTCTCTCTCTCTCCCTCGGTGTCATCTCTGCGTTTGGAATTTTCATCTCTCTTCTTGGGAGAAGGGTGGAATTGAAAGTCACGAAGAAGAAGGTTTGAGAGATCTGGAGGAGATCCAGACCCACTGTGGGACAGTTCAGAGGTCTGGAGAAGATCCAGTTTCGCAGGTTTTGTATTCGTCCCAGGTGATTTATCTGTCTCTCTATGTTGAGTTTGCTTTTCTCTTTTTGCAAGTCTCTGAATCGTTTGGATCCTGTGCTTCTGTTTGTAATTTCAGGTGGTTGAAAGGCTGTTTTGTGTTCAGTTTGCTGACCATAGTATTTGCCAGTAACCTTTGCTGATCGCCATAAAAGTTAAGATGCTCATTAATCAAGGGATTTGATCCGTTGTCAGGAATCTCCGATTGATCGATATATAATCACATCTTTCTTTCATCTTTTTGTTTGAGGGATTGTTGGTGATTTCCGGAATCTTATATCGAGGATTGTTTTATGAGTTGTGTGGATCTGATAGGTTTTTTGTCATTTCGATGAGGGTGAAGGGGTTGATTGGATGAGGATTGAGGAGCCAGCCATCTGCTGTTCCCTGCACCAGTGAGGATGAAGAATGCGTCGTCTATTTGCGCCTACATCTGACCAGTATAGGATACTGGCTGTACAGATCGGCAAGTTTTCATGAAGTCTTATGCTAAAGGTCGCGTCCATTCCCTGTCTTCCGTCTATTTTTTTTCTTCTTTTGCGTTTTAGGTTTGTTGTGAATTGTGATCATTGTTGTTACGTTACCACCTTTGTGAGTTTCTACGGTTTTTTTGAGTTTGGGCCGGATTTTCTGCGTGGTGCTTTGCGAAGTTGAGCACGTTGCCCGCGGAGTTCCGATCCTTTCCTCCTCTTTTTCTGGTTGTATTTTCTCGCATGCCTTCTTCTCTCTCTGGGCTTCTGATACGAGACAGGGATCTGACTAGACATTCCTTGAGAAGAAATGGAAGGTCAGTTCTTGGTGGTGGTCTCGAGACGAGAGAGGACTCAGAGGAGAAAGGGATTTGGCTCGACTCTCCTTGAGAAAGAAATGGAAGGTCAGTTGTTGGTGGTGGTCTCGAGACGAGGGAGAACTCAGAGTAGAGAAGTGACTTCAGTTCCTATCGTGCTTTTCTCAATGTTATGCTTTCAAATTTTTTTAGTGGAAATGGTTCTTGCTAATTTTTTGGGTACGTTTGGAGCCCACGAGTGATTACGTTCTTTAGTAGGATTAGAATCCACTCTTTCAATGTATTTGAATGGTGACCCATGAATTATAGCATGGTGGCAGAACAGGGGTTTCCTTTGCAATTGCTACTATTTTGAATAAATGTATGTATAGAGAATTTCACTTTGGCCCTTCTATGTTTCCAGATGGGGTACTTTGAACGATAGGGGAGGTAGTTACATTTGGAGGGCGGAGGAACAGTCAGAGTTAGGAAGTGTTGGTGTATCTAATGAACCTTTTTTGTACAAAGAAAGTAGCTAAGTTTTTGTGAGAAGGAACAAAAGATATATGTATAGTTAGTGTACGTAGTGTAATGGTGTTGTTTATGTATTTTTATGATGTCGAATATAACGTTGATTGCCATGGTGCACATCTCTCTATCATGTCACTTATCTTTTGTTTTATATTCAGCTTTTGCAAGTACAAGAGGTGCACTATTGAGTAGCTTGCGTGTTGAGTTTTTCCAGTGTTGTTCATTGATCAATGGCCAAGGTTTCTATCCGATTATGGGTTACAACGGTTTTAGAATGTAGGCAAGAAAAGAGGAGCAACCAATTGATGGTGGTTGTTTATTTTAACAAGAAATTGCAGGTGGAAGTCATGGCTTTAATTTGGAATTTGACATGTTCCAATCTGTTGCCTAATATAGATGTCTGTGGATAGTCATCTAAATATCAGAACAAACTGACCCTGACAGCACCAAATTTTAGGAACATAGCCATAAACGAGGAACCGAGTGCAGCACATGTTCTAAATATACAGCAAGAGCAAACTTTAGTTTAATTGTGTGGCATCATCTGGACCATTGACAATGTTAAAAATGAATAAACAATAACAAACTGCGGTTACATGATTAAAGTGTTATCGAATGAAACATTTGTGTTCCTCAATTTGCTTCAAGCTCGGGCGCGTATAGATAAATATAAATAACGGGCCCTCTTTTACGATATGTAAGCAGATATATGAATTGGGCCCAGTATTCTCATATTTAGCCCGAATAGGAGATGCCTTTGTGCTTATATTAAGTTTCTATAGCTTTTGGGAAGCCCATTCTATAATTGTTCGGTCCATTATGGGAACAATTGATAGCCCATTGAATATTATATTTATATTTTATAATGGTTGTGCGAAAACGTTTTAGGGACCAACTTCCACCGCCTTTTCATTTCGCTCCTGATTCTGCTTTTTAACTTCCCCTGTTCTCTGAACTTTTGCTCCCACGATCTACAGTGTTTCGCGACTTCTGGATCAGGGATAGTCGTGTATTCATGGGGTATGCTCGCCGATAGTTTTCCCTTTTGCATTCTGTTTCTGTTTCTTGACACTTTAACAAATTTTTGATCTTCCGTTGTCTTTCCATATCAGGCATCGTTGTATAATGCCGCGTGATTTCAAGCTTCCAACTCTTCCACGAGGTATCGGCTCCGTTGCTTTCTGTTTCAAGTTTCTATTTATTGGTTTATGAATGAACACTGCCGAGGTGTGAAGTTTTGGGGGTTTTCTTTGTCATTCGTTTGCAACAGACCCAATTTCCACATGCATGGTGTTTCGTGGTCTACGTGTGGGTGCTTATACTGATATTATGATCATTCGAGTTCTTAATGTATGGATTGAGCACGGTGATGACTCTCAGGGGCATAAAAGAACAATGCATGTGCTGTGTCTTGACAAAGAGGTCTGTCGTTCGTCTCTGTAATGTAATATTTATTGTTTATGTTTGATTTTGTTGTAGTAATACACTAAATCACATTTAACAGGAACATATGCTAGAGGCCTGTATTGAGGAAAATGACATTCAGGAAATGCAAGATAAGTTGAAAGTAGGAGATTTACATGTCCTAGATGGCTTTCATGTTATTCCTGCGAGGAAAACCAGGCGTGTTGTTCCAGCTGAAGTTCGCTTTGCCTTAAGGCGTGAATAGATCATATTTTGTGTGCCTGACAATCCGGGTTATCCCAAGTTTCCTGTCAATGCTTTTATGAAAACTTCGTTCTCAGCTATTCCAATAGAGACAGAGGCAGTTGTGAATTATGGAGGCATCTTCCTCGAAAGTTGTTTGCACAAAAAGTATTCATGATTATTTGCTTACTATGAATTGAATTGCAGATGTTACAGGTTGCGTTGTTCATCTGACGATTCCAGGATTTCCAATTAATGGTGTTCTTAGTTTTGAGCTCATCATAAAAGACATCAGGTTTCTTGCATATTCTTGTGCTGATTTTTGTTTGTTAGACTTCATGTGGGATTAACTGATCTTTTGCTATTTTGTATAGAGGAGATAGGGCGACTGTGTACTACTCTGGAACTGAAGTTACAAAGTATTTGGAGTTGGCAGGGGAATCTGAAGCTCGACTTCCTCTCATTACCACAGTTACTGCTGTTACAAGGCTGCCAATCACAGATGCCACTGGAGATGCATATGTATTTCAATCTTCACCTGGAAGTCGTCTGATCATTGGTTCTTATAATCACCATTATGAGAAGATCATAAATAGGTATTATTATATCCAAATTCGATGTTTATATATTGACAGACCTGGTCTGTTGAATGCTAGAAAACAATACATACATTCTTTTTGTTGTTTAGGTTCATATGTGATCGAATGCCAGTGACTTATATCAATAGTACTTCTCGCTGCTCCATTGGTTTTCTTCGTGGTCTTCTGCCTCCCAAAAGAACCCTAAAGCAGCTAAAGGATGATATAATGTTCCATGCACAGACCTATCAGGTATATGTATGCTTTTTGTTGTTTTGATTGTATTGGATAAGACATATCCTAAATATATAGTCATATCTTTTACCTATTATAACACAAATTCTTCCTTCAGGCTCTCTTTCGTTGTATGCTGGAAATGACAAGATTTACATACGGTCCAGAAGTCTTTAAATCATGTTCAGGTTTTCCAAGGTATGTTCAATTTTATGTTTTACTAATAATCTGTTGTCCATTGCATTTCAGGAAGATCAAAACGTTCCTTTTATTGTTTAATTCAGGGTACGATATGAATTGCAAGCAACATGTCAGTGTGAGGGAGAATATGTTGATGTTGTGTTTGATCATGAAGCTGTGTTGGGCTTGGTTTGGGTGTCACCCGAGGAACTTTTCAGTCTAACCTATGAAGAAGGATATCAGTACATTCAAGACAGATGTCATGTGCCTTTTATGGCTGAAGCTTATGTTGCTCCTGGGACTTCAGAAAATCCTCCTGCAATCCGAATTGCTTCAATCTGGAACCCTAATGCTTTTGTGTGATTAGAAACTGTTATACTTGGAACTCAGTTTGTCGGGACGGCTTATTTATAATTATGTATGTTATCTATTTAGGACATGTTGCTCTGTTTTCTGTAAAAATAACTTAATGTTTTCCCCTAACTACTCTGGTATTTTGGAAATTCACCAATGTACCCGATTTGACAATTTGCTGGCCACTAGTTATTCTGTTTAGTACATATGGAAATCCCTGATGTTTGTATCTCAATAATTTAGAGAGGTTGATCTTTTGATTTGATCATGAAAAACTAGCAGGAGACATTGTTTGCGTTTTGAATTCTGGGCATGTTCTTCCTGTTCTTGCAGAATGACACAATAGAATATTTGATCTGATCCTTTGATCGAAATTAGCAGGAGACATTGTTTGCGTTTTGAATTCTTCGGCCTTAAACGCTTACTAAAACCGAGCCCACGTTTTCTTACGTTTTGATAGTAATGGAATGGAATTGAGCCCAGCCCGAACATGCTTTAGGATTGCAGACAGAAGCCCATGGGAAACTGCCCCAAAATCACCGCTTCCTTTATAATCCCTAATAACTGTCTTCATCAACCAGATCCGCCGTCCACATTTCCATACACTTTGCTCCGCCGCGAAAGCCCCAACACCGAACTACACGACAGCCTTTAAAACAAAGGTAACTCCACGTCTTCCTCTTCCTCACCGTTTTCACACTTGGGAATTAATTTCTGATAATCATCAACATTGTTTGCGTAAAGACCCCAAAAGACATGGATGGTTTGGCCAAAAACCAGCAGTCAACAGAGGACGCTCACATGGTCCCCACCGACAACAAAGGTGAATGCTTTCCATTTTTGTTAAAGAATACTACCAGGTATCTCGAATCCTCTGCTCCAAAGATAAAATATGTGTTTCATTTCCCTATACTGTCTTATTATAGATCCGATCGAAACTTGCATGCCATTTCGAGGATTGCGTCTGGGCAGAAACGTCCGCATAGTAATTGCTAGGCCTGTGATGGCATGGCTCGAGTATTGAGAGGCGCCTGGACTTAAAAATCTTAGCATGCACATGATCTGGATAGATAAAAAGGTTTTTTTCCATTTCAATTACAGAATTAGATAATCTCTTCATCAACAATTTTAAACTACTATAATACATAATTTGGAACCGTTTAACTGCTTATCTTATAGGCACGACTAATCGAGTCAATGGTTGATGAAAAAGACATCGCCGAGATTTCTCGAAAGATAAAAGTCGGAACCTTTATCAGTTTGATTCGCTTGAAGCAATGCCAGCAAGAGAGAATCCAAGGATTGTTGCAGGAGAGTTAAGAGTGCACATAACCGCTGATCAAAAAATTACCAAGATTGAGGAGGACCCAGATGAGCCACACTTGCCCGCTGGCTGGGACATTGGGATGGCTTTTTCGATAGTACCACTTCAGACAAACACCATCGACTATCATACAGGTACGTTAACCATATCTATTTGATATAATAAAATGAACTTAAGCTTTTAAGTGACAAACTCTTATGTTGCTTATAGACATCACCGTATGCATTAGGCGTCTCAGTGTTCCCACAACAATTCGCAGTAGACTCAAAGAATTTCACATGGTCGTTCAGGATGTGAGGTACATTTTGTAGAATAGAATCTCGATCTGTGAATTGTATGAATAAACAACCTCACATATTATTGTCATTGACAGTGACGCTAAGGCAACTGTTCGGTATCGTGGATATGATATACCGAACTTCTTAGAGAACGCCCCGACAGCTTAGGCTCATCTGCCTCTGATTGTTACAATCAAGTCTGTCATTCGGGTGGCACCTCTAGCCGACCAGAAATACAAGTATCGGTTCGAATCCACTCCTGTCAGTGCACTCAAGATCAGATCTTATACAGTCCCATACCAGGAGATAATGCACATGTACATTTAGTTTGACAGAATCCTTTCCATTTTTTGAATCATATTTGTTGCCAGTAGGCCAAAACCAATTACACTGACACTTTTGTCTCTTTTATGCTACAACCAGTTTCCTTTACAGCCGCAAGCAGGTTTATTTCATGGATGCCAATACCAGCAAGAAGACAGGATGCCTTCGATCAGGAATCGAAAAGAAGACACTCTCTGACATGGAAACAATGCATGCATCTGATCAGACTGTCCACAAGGTTAGTAAGGGACAGAACATAAACCAAACTCCTATACTGTGTACCTACATTTTTCGTAGACCTATATCTTATGGATATCTGATGTTCATGCTAGGTACTCTATCGTGTTAAGTTCTTCATCTCACAAATGAAATTTCGAAAAGCCATATGTCAAGCGACTGAGGACTGGCCAGAGTAAGTTTTCTATTTCAAAACGACAATGACTTCTCATGTGAATGAATCTATCTACGAATAAGCCAACAAGTTTCTAAACTTATACTTATGACTAGGCTGCACTATGAGTTGGAAGTCAAATGCACGCAAGGAGATGATAGTGTTGATGCCATACTGGACCACGAGGCTACACTATCAATAATAGGAATGTCACCCAACAAATACAAAAAACTCGATGCAGAATCGGCCAAGGCGTTGCTGGTCAAAAGATGTAGCAGAATGTTTGCAGGAGAGCTCTACATCGGTTCCTCAGATCTGAAGAACAGAACCAGAACACCCGTATCCCAAATAAGAGTAGCGACACTTTGGCACACCTCAAGGATAGATAAGTGACTATCAGCAATACTGAAAGAAAGGCCAACCGAAGTATCCCATCCACCCCCAGAATTCTCCATTTTAAACTGACGTTTCTATTCCCTATTTTCAGTGAAGACAAAACTATGGCAAATGTGTTTATGTTTTTTAATTTCGTCAAGGGCATCACTTACTAAAGTTTTTATTCCCTATTTTCAATGAAGACAAAACAATGGCAGATGTATATGTGTGGTGTGCACAAAGTTTGTAATATGTTTGTTAATTATTGCGCTCTCTAGCGCAATGAATCTAAACTATTTGCGAATGGTATAGTAGAAAGAACATGACAAAATCCACAAAACAACTGGAGTCACACTTACCCCGCCGCGGAGCGCGGGCCGAATACTAGTATTTAAAAATATGAAAACACTGGATGGATGAATAAGCAAATAACTAATTTTAATGGACTGAAACGTCAATAGAGGTCGAGCATGAGGGCTGATTTGCACTTAACCGTATTTTCCTAATGATTGAAGCACTTGGAAAGTGTATAATCCATTGGATTGGATCTTTCGTCGTCGACGCCATTTGTCTGACATCTCTGCAAAAAGTGCCAGCAATTTCTTTCGTTTCAATTTCCTCTGTCCTCGCCGTCTCCGATCCCAAAACCTGTAACCATCCTTCTGTCCGGCGAGCCAGGTTTCTGAACAAAAGGAGATAAAAGAGAAGAGGAATTCTCCGGCTGTCTCCTTTTTCATCGCTCTTTCTGGAATCATTTGCAATTTTACTTCCCCCGGCTTTCCACATCGCCAACAAGCTCCGATCGGCTGCAGGAGCCGGCGGTTGTTTTGGGGTCTTTCGGCGATATTGAATTTCCTTTGTATCGTCCATTTGGAGGGATGGAAATGAATCCGGATGTAAGATTTGCTTCTGAATTTCGGTCATTTCTGGTTCGGAACTATTGAATTAGGTTATCGATATTCACTATCGTCGGCTTTTTTCCTATAGGGTTTTTGTTGCTAGCAGATATGGTTATATAGAATTGTAAAAGGAGGCGGAGGCGGAGGACCTTTTGGGAGAGAATTGTTTTCCACGGGGGATTGTAAACGATGCATTTCTTCCCTTTCAGCTCAAGCTCTAACAATGATGGCGGGAGTCGTATTCCGGTATATCTGAATGTGTATGATCTTACCACTGTAAATAACTACCTCTATTGGTTCGGGCTTGGGATCTTCCATTCGGGTATCGAAGGTAGCCCTTCTTCAGTTCCTGGTTTAGCTGTACTAGTTGTGTTTGTTCCCGCCATGAATTTTCTCATTTTGCCATATTTTGATCATTTTTTAGAACCATGGTGAAAGTTTGATACTTTTATCCTTGTAAACTTCTATTCTGTAGTTAAGTGAATCATCTGAGAAGGAGTGAATTGCTTTTTTTCTTATGAAAAGAATAGAGTGAATCTCAAGGGTTAGCATTTAAATCTTCACTAGGTTATCTTAGGCATGAATTCGACTGTTTCTCATGTTCACAGATGAGTGTCGTTATGTGAAATTGACTTAAGAGAAGGAAACTTCAGTGAGGGGCTAACATTCATAGGAAACTTTAGTGTCAATCGAAAGAGGAATCAAATCAGGGAAGTCCATCCTTAAATTAGCAAGTAATTCCCTTGTGCTGAATGTATAGCACTGTCCAAGTGTCAAAAGACTAGAATTTGAGATGATTTGTTTCTTAGGTGGGCGGGCAATGAGTTACCATTCTTCAATTCTTTATGCAACTTAGGCTATGAGGAGCCATAATGCAAGGATAAGATGCTTAGACTACTTACTATGTTAGATGCTAGTTTTAGAAAACAATTTATGAAGCACCAAATCTTTCAAATGTTTATACGCTATTGCAATGTTATAACTTATGTGGCACGTGAATGAGTAAATCATTTATTATCTGGACAAATACATGGTTTAGTGTTGATGCTTGTATCTCTTCAGTATACTTTATGTCTGATATAATAGATTGATTTAATTTTAGAATTGGTGATAATTGCTGTTTTGAATGTATTGGTTGTCTGATTTTCTTTAGCTTGTTTTCAGCCTTTGCTTTGGGGATTTACCCTGCTATCCTATCCTGCGATAGCCTTGATCTCCTTGCTTCTGTCTGCATCTTGTTTTTTCCCCTCGCCCTGCTCCCTACTTGTTAGCTGATAGTTTGCAAGTTGCCTGTTGGGAGAGTTTGTATTTGTTCTTGTGTTTGTTTGTCCCTTTCTTTCTCGATTTTGAAAATGATATCACCATTACCACAAAAAACAAGGATCTTGCATAGATGGCAGTTATAATCAGGAATCGGAAATGTTACTATGCTATGCATTTAAATAAATTACTTCAAATCTTACTGATCATGGTGTCTATAATGTGTTTTGACAATTTCAATTGGATTCGATAATCAGTCCATGGAATGGAGTTTAGTTTTGGAGCACATGAGTACCCTAGCAGTGGGATATTTGAGGTGGAACCACGAAGTTGTCCAGGCTTCATCTTTCGACGAGCAGTGTTGCTGGGCAACACCAGCTTGTCACGGGAAGAAGTTCAGGCATTAATGGAACACCTTTCATCAGACTACCATGGTGATTGTTATCATTTGATTGCCAAGAATTGCAATCACTTCACAAGTGAAGCGTGCGTGAAACTAACTGGAAAGCCAATTCCAGGATGGATAAATCGGATGGCTCGGTTAGGTAATGCCATTTTGTATGAGCTTGAGCATCATCTGGAAGTTTTATTTATCCCTTTTGTATTTCATAGCTGTTGAACCTCATATTGAATGGGTGGCGCAGCCTACAACTGAAAGCAGAATAATTTTTTTTAGCGAATTGGCATAAGGCATAGCTGTTGCAAGTTTTCAGCTTCTTGTTTGTCTTGCAATTCATGAGCTACTAGCATTTTAATTATCTGATTAGAACTTTATGTTTCCCGGTTTCAGGTTCCTTCTGCAATTGTCTACTGCCAGAGAGCATTAAGGTAGCACCAGTTCGACATGTACCTGAACACGCCGGATATTCTGGTTAGTGTTTGTTCTTAAAGAATCTGTGGTTTTCATTGATCATAACTCAATTTGTGTGGCAATTAGACTTTGGCAAATTGCCTTTTTCATTCCTCACTCCACTACGAAATTCTTCAATGCCTACTTACTAACTGTGAATACCCGAACACACACAGATGATGACGCCTCAGGATCTATCATATCATCCGCTTCATTGGCCAGCGACGAAGAGAATTCAAATCACCATCTGCTGCCCATACCCAATGGCGAGGTTGAATTTATAAAGGAAAAAGAAAAACCAATCAGGCTAGCCAAAGATATACTGTAGAAGATGTTTTCTTGTGAGATATCTATTTTTTTTTTTTTATCCCTGTGCCTTCTCTTTCACATCTAGCATTGTGTGCTGATTGCATCGCCTTTTCGCTCGAGACTTCTGTGATGCATCATTTTTCTGATTGTTTGTTGTGTTCATGTATTGCTTATTTCACTCTTTGAGAGCTGACAAGTATGGATCCTCATGTATGCCGCTTGATGTATATAACCAAACCTCTTTTTTCTTTTCTGTTGCTGATAGGTTTCTGTGAGATGTAGAGAAACTTAAAGACTCTTTGTTCCCACTCTTGTTTGGTTTGCCACTGGATGTTTGTATGATGTTCCCATTGAACTCAGGATCGGTACATAACCCGCTAAAAAGACGAGGGATGAGGGATGAGACCATATTGAAAATACATTTGATCTGATCCGATTCGACCCGCTTATGTTCATTGTTTGTAAGGGTTTATAGTCCTACGTCTGTCTGATTCAAATATCGGTTTGTTCCGATGGGAATCGAATTGCAAACAATACCATCTAACTCTAGTCTCAGTAACTTGTTCCGGAGGGAAGCTGTCTTTTCCTCTCTAATACTGGACTTTGTCTTCTCCAGGCATAAATAAAGGTTAACCCATTTATTTATCTGCAACAGACAAAGAACTAGTCAAGATCCCTGGTTTCTAACCCATAAAAGGGGGGAGAAAAAAAATGGTGCAGAGAAAGTCGAGCCCACTAGTGGACCTCTTAGTTAAGCTAACTAAGGAAGTCTCTGGGAAAGTGGAATACATCAACGAAAACCAAGTTGCTGTTTGGTAGTGTCCTTTTATCTGGTCCTGTTTAGTGTTTTCCCATCCATATTAAGCTGGTCCCAAATGTCCTTTTTTTTTTAAAACCTTCTCATTTGACAAGTACAAGTACTCCTGTAATAGAACTTGCAAATGAAAGGCAGTTTCTTCTGCTCTAAGGCAACCATCATATTCCTCCCCACTTGTGTTGTTTAGTAGCACTTTCCGCAGGGTAGGTTGGTTGAGTGAGAGAGAGGTTCTCCTGAAATCTGCACTGCTTAAGATATCCTCTTTGTCCCACTCTCTCACCCACTTTTCACTCTTTTGCATCTCTTTTATCCACCAAAGTTAACGAGTAGTGAGAGTGACAAATGAGTGAAACAAACATGGGAAGACACAAAAACCAAAAATAACTATCTTTTAGCTAACACAAACTACACAAGTTTTTATTTTACTAGATTTGTATATCAAAAGACGACCCTCGTAATATGACTAAAATGAAGTTGGAGTGAACCACCTCCCTATGCCATAATTAGATGGCTGAAATTTTATGAATCTTTTCCAAGTTAATCAAAAGTTAAACGTCGTGTTTTTGTAACAAAAACATATTTAACCTGAAGAGTTGTATGACATTTTATGACTTTACTTATCAGTCCATGACCTAACGGCCTATTTGAATACAATTTCATAAGAGATGAAAGCAAAATTTCATTTTAAATTCTTATTTTTATAGAATTTTATTTTCAATTTTCGTGTACGATATAATTCACACAACTATGAAAATGGATTATATTTTAAAAATAAATTAATAAGTAAATATGTTCTTTTGTCTTGGAAACAAATTCGAATGAGTAAAAGAGAGACAAAAATAGTGAAATTATAAAATAATAATTTTTTTCTATGAGATTCACTAATTACATTTCCATAAACTCAATTCCTATTAATTTTATATGATTTTCAATTCTCAAAATTTAAACCAAATAAAATTCATTCCCCACCCATTTTCCATTCCGAACACAAAAATTAGAATTAAAATTGAAAATGGAATTCCATTTCCAGAAGAAGAAGAAAATCAAGCTTTAAAGAAAAACCTCTCTAAATACAACATTATTTCTTTTACTTCTAAAAAAGATGAAAGACTCTCCTAATTCCTATTCTTTGCTTCCCCACTCAAAAAGAAACTAGTCTCCCCTTCCTTCTTCTTCCCTCCTCTCCCTTTTCCCCTGCCTATATCAACCCAAAACAAGAACAACCCATCTCCATTTTCATCCAAACCAATTATGAAATCTCCAATCTTTCTCCTCCTCTTCCATTTCTTCATCTTCTTCCCCACTTCACACTCCTCCCAACCCACTTGCCCGCCGCTCAAATGCAGCCCTCAATCCCCAGAAATCCACACCCCATTCCACCTCACAACCCACCACCCTCCCGGCTGCGGCAGGCCAGGCTTCACCCTCTCCTGCAAACACAACACCACCACCATCACCTTCCCCAGCCACCACCTCAACTTGGCCGTCAAGTCGATCTCTTACGACGAAAACAGAATCGACCTCTCGGACCCACGAAGGTGCGTGCACGGCGTCTTCCTCCACCTCGACTTGTCCCTCACCCCGTTTCAGTACGCCTACGTGGTCAAGGAGTTCGAGTACTTGAACTGCTCGGCCAGGCTCCCCGCGGGCTCGTTCGACGAGGTGGCCTGTTTGAGTGGCAGGGAGCATCATGTCTACACTGTGGAGGCAGGGGAGAGGTCTTCTTTTGAAGTACTGCCGGAGTTTTGTAGAGTGGTGAAGAGTGTCAGAATTCCGTTTGGGTATAGCCCTTACCTTGCTGACGACGAATTTGGCCTCGGGTTGACTTGGGAAACAGAGTGTGCAGAGGAGGTGTCAAAGGGTAAGTTGGTAGACTGAGACTCACTCCTTCCTGTTCAGCAGTCGAACTTGGATAACTCTTTAACAATGGATCTGACACTGTTTGCAGGTTTCTTAGCGAACAGCTTAGTGGGAAGTGCCTTGTGTGACAAGTTGTTGAAGCTTGGGATATTATGCTTGGTGGCGGTAACGTTGCTGTTGAGCTTGAAGATGTATCATACAAACAGAGAGGAGAAGTTGGTGAATGAGAGAAGCCATCTTTTTTTTTTTTCTAGTTGAGTCACTCAAAGGTCGAGGAGACGAGGAGTCTTCAGCCTAAAGGACTGCTGAGTTTTGATATATGTCATCAAAGAAATAGGACCTTTAGTACTTGGTACAAAGTTTGCAGCTGATGACATATGATTGACAAATTTTGGAAAGAGGTTATGAAAATCATAGGCAAAAAACCAGTTATGTCGTCCACAATTCTAAACTGGTACGACCGATTGCAATTTCATGGAACAGTTAAAATGATATTTCATTACTTTCATGATGTTCACCACATAACTTGCTATTTGACCTTCTAAAGCTGACAAACAGAAGGAAACCGAAGAGAATTTGTGCTCACTCTAGGATAGAACTGACTGGTTTACAATCTGTGGCCGCATAAGAGCCTAAAGTAAGGTTTGGAAAACTTAACAGCAACCACATTTGCTCGAGTACAAGGTAGTTAAAATGTCTCCACCGTAGATATCAACACACATAACAGAATCGTGAGTATATTATCCTCTGTTAACAGGCTCCAGCGCTTCCACAGTGACGACGCTATTTCCTCTAATCACCTGCAGAAAGGTGCATTGAAATCAATATCCCACAATGATGTTTTGGGATTTCCTGTATAACGACGAACTTCCAAGAAAAATCACAGACAACTAAATAGTCAACTCACCACCATCCCGATGTCGGTTTGCTCCTCCCCATTCACTGCAACAGTGTTGTCTACCACCAAGTTCATGAATTGGTCGAACCCACGAAGCGTGCCAACCACCATCCTATTCGCATTCATCTTGACTGCATTGGTAGGATCATAATGAATAACTCAAATAGCCCCACAGTCATCAACATAAACAATGTGAGACGCAACTTGAAACAAACAGCCAAAAAATACAGCCATGATCCAAACCGTAATGGTTCATCTAGAAATTGATATAGTAGCGCCAACAGTAATGCATTTTACAGCAACATGGGCAGCAAATTTTGCCCAATTCGGATGAATGCTCCATTCAACTAAAGGATTCTTTACAAACAACAGTTTCATAAGCTATACGTATCCCTAAAGTCCAGAAAACTCAGCCACCGACACAACACGCTGGAGCAAACATACAACCACCAATGCACATTTATGCACACACAAAAACGAAGTAACAAGCACATACAGATACAAATGCATGTACACAAGTTGAAGAAGATAAAAACCCCGGCCCAAAGGTCAGTTTAGCAGCAAAAGCTATCTGCTATGCTAAAAGGCCAATGCGGTAGGATACCAAAGCTACTAGCATGATGCAGGATAAGCCGAAGAATTACCAAAGCTACTAGCACCGTGCAGGCAAAAACCCAAATGGATAATGAACATAGACACAATTTAGGCGTCTAAACTAGAGATTCAGCAGAAAGAGGGCTGTTTTTTATACACGAAAGAAGCCCAAAGACACACTCGAAGGAACTTACTCTGGAGCTTCTTGTCCATATACCTGCAATCACCCCACATCAAACATAAAATTTCAGAGGTCCGTGAATGAAGATTGACAGGGGGAAGATAGAGCGGAGGTAGAAAGGCAACTTACTTCTTGAGATCTGGAGGCTGGCCGGATCTGCTCATGGTGGAATCTCGGGAGACTAGGATCGAGCTGCGAGGGAGACGATGTAGAAAAGGGAACAAGGGTTTTGGGAGAAGGAGAGCGAAGCAGGACTTTGAGCAAAAACAGTTCCCTGATGCGAGTGGTATAATATCTAGTGGGTCGGGACTCGGGGCTTCAACTTTTATGGTCGACATAATGGCCCATCAGCAGATCGATCATAAAAGCCCGCCCTAGCTGGGCCGAACTGAAAGCTAGATTAGGAAGCATGGTGATGGGTGGTTTTATGTCTTAAATTTGGCAATCGAAACGGGAAAACTTGTTTACTTTTCATTTCGTTTTTTATTCGTTTCAAACTATGAAAACATAAACTGGCAACTTCCTGCTGTTTTTCGGAAACAACAAAATGTTGTTTTCACGTGTTTTCAACATATGTTTCAAACTATGAAAACATAAAGTGGCAATTTCCTGCTGTTTTTCGGAAACAACAAAATGTTGTTTTCACGTGTTTTCAACATATGTTTCTCAAAAACAGGAAACATAAATGAAAGTAAACAGGCCCTTAATTTCGTTCTAAATTAATTATATCATCGTATTAAATTTTGTTTTTATTTTTTGGGTTAATAGCATTTTGTACCCCTCTACTATGGTAAATTAACAAACGTACCCATCTACTAAATTTTTGCACAAACATACCGTTCTAATATTAAAACGTAACGAGTTTACCCTTCCATCCAATTCTCAGTTAAGTAACCGTTAAATGGGTGATGAAATGACTTAATTGCCCCTCGTTTACTCCTAGACACTCCAAAATTCGATTTTAATTATTTATGTCCCAAATCAGTTAAAAAAAAACCCCTAAACTAATTCACGCGTATGACAGAAATCGTCCGCCACCTTGGCGATTACTCCCTCCACTCAGCGGCGGCGCTTCTCCCGGCATCTCCTCGCACCCGCCAGTCCAACTGCCCCAGCCGGAACGGCTCTGGCGACAACAACCTCGCCCATCTCGACGTCCAATCGCCGACCTCCTTTGACACAGTTACTTTAGGAACCTCGTGACCAGGATGGTCAAGTTGGGAGAGATTAGCCCGCTCACGGGATCGCAGCGGAGATTAGACAGGAGGCCTAATTAACTGGTCAGGGATGGTGTTTTGGTAATGTTGGGAGTTCAACTGAAATGATTTTGCGGACCGATTGAGTTCGAATAAAGTGTGGTTTTTGTGTGGGTAGGTCGGCAGTGCTTATGTAGTTTGTATAAATATATTTTTAATCAGAGTGTTATAGCTACGATGTTCTAGGCTTCCAGCCAAGAGTGAAGATGCTTTTTTTTCTTCAGTTAGATCTTTCTTTCCTTTCTTCTTTTTCCATTCTTTATGTCGATCATATATGCTTCAGATGTGGGAGCAGCGCCGCCGCTGAAGGGGAGACGGAGTCTGCTGTGTGTGAATTAGTTTAGGGTTTGTTTTTTTATTAATTGATTTGGGACATAAAATTTAAAATCGAAATTAGGAGGGTTAAGAAGTAATCGAGGGCAATTAAGTCATTTAACAACCCTTTTAACGGTTGCTTAACGGATTATTGGATGGAAGGGTAAACTCGTTACGTTTTAATATTATAAGGGTATATTTGTGCAAAACTTTAGTAGCGGGGTACGTTTGTTAATTTACCATAGTAGAGGGGTACAAAATGCTATTAACCCTTATTTTTTTTAAATGGTATGAGAGATTGACAAATGACAAATGTATTTGTGACTCAAGGACGGTTTTCTGAATGTGAACTTTGTGGTGATTTTCAATCAATGATTCGGTGCGTTCGTGAAAGGGAATTGACTCATGGTTTCAGGAGACATATTTTGGAGGAGATTTAGTTGGAAGTGTTTTCTTTTCTTTTCTTTTCTTGTTATTTTGTATTTAGATTGTACAAGGAGGCTGGTCACCTAATGCCTAGGGACTACTAACACCCTCTCATTGACAATTTGACGATTTGTTGACTGTCGCTTCTGGTTATTCAACATATTGTAATATTTATTATGAACTCTATCTTTGAAAAATAAGTTTTAATTTATTCATTCCAATTAATAAGATTTGGAAATTCTAACAACTTAGGAACGGATACAAATGGCACGTACGAAGCCACATCACAATTCATGCAAAATTGGTTGGTACAAGTCATATACATAATGCACTTTCTTAGATCAACGCGAAGTGCATGATTAGAAACATACAACCCAAAATGTCTTATTCGATGTTGATATCTTCTTTAGTTTCGCTTATTATTGGGAAGAAAAGAAAATCCCTTTAGGAAGTGAGTGTAGGTATTTAGACATGACTAAAGCCGACCTCCTTGTTCATGGTCAATTCAAATCCAAAATGAGCTTATCCTTCAAAACAAATTCTATAGAGAATTTTGAGACATTGGGGAGAACCATAAAATCAAGAACTATGAATATGTAATACTAGCGGTTAGGTTGTAGTAGGTTGGAAAAGAATCAAAGATGATCAACCACTTCCGACAAGCAGTCAATCTAATAGTACAATTAACTTGTTGCAACGAGACTTCACCATTACAATGGAATAGAACGGTCGACCTTTCTTGTAGAACAATTGATTGGTTGGAGTAAATTGAAGTCATTTGATCGTGTGTTTAATAGAGTATGTGGGTTTGTTTTCATATCGTGCTCGATTGAACAATATATTGCAGGTGATGAAAGTGGAGAGTTAGAAGAATTTGTGAAAGAAATGCAAAATCCAATTGAAAACTTGTTATGTATTGCTAGTTTGCCACCAACGTCAACTCGTCAAGGATGGAGATACAAAATAGGAAGAAAAAAATTATAACGTGCATACTGTATCAAACTAGATTCCCTTAAATTTATATTTATTTGGTAACGATCGTTGTTGTAAATTTTTGTTCTTGACTTCATAGCACAAAAGCTGCAAAGTAATGGCATTAGTGAGAGAATTTATTTGTTTATCTTAAGTTCTATATTGTTAGGCCTTGCTCTCCTTGATTAGTGGATATAGTCGCTCAGGGGACGATTGATTCCCTAAGTTTGCCCCTCACACTTCTTCTCTACCTTACCTTCTCTATGCTGGATGAAAGCGAGAGATGTAGAGGAACAGTGATCAGAGTTATCTAAATTTAATTAAATTAGAATTTGGTGATCCAAATGCAATTGTCTTTAAAATATTTAGGATAAATTAAATTTACAGATTTATGTAGTGAATATTACTGGTTGGTGTGTCTACCATCTATATCATACAGATTTGAGCTGCTTATAAGATATGACACTATTTACCAAAGTGCAGATTCCCTTACAAAAAAAGACAACGATATTTATCATAATTTTCAAATCTAAATTAATCTGTTTAAATTTGTAAAAGTTATTTTTCAAAATATACTATGTTTCACACACTAAAAAGTTCATTGTGTTTTGTACTTTGTAGACACGCTGTGCTAATTATTAATAGTAATAATAAAATCTTTGATTTAGAGCATACACATCATTAATAAAAAATTTAATTGTCGGATATTGTAATGGTATTAGTTAAAAACAGATAACATACTCTAGCTAACAACCATACAAGTTAGCAACCGGGTACAAAAATATATCTCTCTTAAAATATTATAAAGCGCTTTTAGAAAAGCGCCTATGCCACATTGCCACGTACTCCTTGAAGCCCAGCCCGCAACTCTCGGAGTTATATGTATTTTTTAATTTTTAACTCGGCTGCGGTGGTTATCCATTTTTTTCCCTAGACGTGTTTTGTTTTTATTAAAAACGGGATATATATATTTCTAAAGTTGGATGTACTTTTTATTCTACCAAAAAGCTCTCCACCCATCACACCGAAAAAAAGAATAAAGAAAAAAAAAACTCTCTGCAATGAAAATCTGATATAGCAAAATCCTTTTCCTTTAGATAAGCGTACCAATGGTAAAATATCTTAACTATAAAAAATAGCAACATATCTAAAATATGTACATTTCATTTCAAATTGAATTAAAATCCATACTTTTTGTAAGAATTTTCAAATTAAATTAATTTATTAAAATTATAAATTCATTTTCAAATGACATTTAGTTTATATTCACCCAAAATTCACAATGTATATTTATAAGATAATCAATTTGACTATCTTGGGTAGCATTAATCCACTCATAAAAAATTATTGATTATTATACATTGTATATGTTTATGATCGACTCAGTTAATATTTAACACGCATGGAGTAAAAGTCAAGAATTTTGACTTAAGAACATGTAGTGGTTATGTTACACAAAAAAAATATTCATTGGTTGGTTAATGCGTTTGCTCATAGCTCAAACTTCATTGGAGAATATAAGTTTAAATCTATAGATTGTCAACAATCTAAAAATTCTAAATTTTTGGATTGTTGAAAATAGATTTAAAAATGTTTATTGTTTGGTAACTGTGATTATTAACATTCATTGAAAATAAAAATACAAATTTTATATTAAATAACATGTTTATCCTTAATAATAAATTAGAGTAGTTCGAGAAATATTAAAAACTTTGTTAGTAAATATATTGAATATGATAAATAAATAAAAGAAAGAGAAATGGTAGGAGAAAAAAATCTCATGAATCAAGATATAGAATCTCTCTGATTATGAGAGATTTGATATCCATAGATTTTAGAGATTTGAAATTTCTAAAGCTAAAATCCACAATACAAAAAGCAACAATAAAACATAACTTTCTACAAAATCTACGGATTCAATGAATCCACGCCCTAAATCCCGTTCTCCAAACGACCCCTTATACGAGAGAGTTTTTAATTTATTAATATATATTATAGAAACATAAGAAATTTAAATATCCAAAATAATTTAAGTATATGATTCAAATGAAATACATCCCGGCCAATAGGCCGGGCACAACTCTAGTATTGTTATAAGCATCTTGATTTAGAAATCCTATACCGTCCCACTCCCAAGCCGATGGACAACAATAACTGGTTGAGACTTGAGAGCTAGTGCAAGCAAAGAGATTTGAATATAAGATAATATTTTCTTCATTAATCTACATCTCCATGAAGGACATTTAGTATTTTTTTTTTTTTTTTTTTTACAATCAACCTACTTTTTATTCAATAATCAAACCATCCTCTCCATGAAGAACATTAGTGGTATGATAGATGTTGAGAATTTTCGGCATAGGGCTATGATAGATTTAAACAACCTCAATTTTAGTTTTAGCATCTTAGTATTTACTACTTAAGTCAACTAAAAATCATTGATAGAGTGTCAAGTATTCGATTGAGAAATTTGTCTGAACTGGCGCCAAATACCATAACATCGCATATAACTCACACCAACAACATAAACAACTAAGATGATCCAAATAATTCAAACCTCACAATAATTCGATTAGTGCAAATGATTATATCGAACAACCCGTCAAGCTAGCTTGGTGAGTGACAAAAAACATCTACTCGATACAGATGTAATTTATCAAAGCATATTAGTAAACTAGATTTTACCCATTTAGTTTTGTTAATTTTTCCTTTGGTAGCATTTCACAGCAAACACCAAAATAAGACGAAGATTCCAATCACTCGCATGAATTTACAAGTCTGAAAATTGCCTAAATTTAGCTGGACTTACCACTCCTAACCGCAGCAGCAACCTTCTGTTTCCTTTCACTACCCAGCTTCGATGGACACTTCAACCTTTCACTTCCCTTCACAACATTCTCTTCTCCTTCTTCTTCCTCTGCATACTCCTCGTCACAACACCAACTCTTCGAATCACTCTTCTGTTACTCGGCGTAACAAGCACTTCCCCTTCCATCTCCGACTTGCCCTTCTCTTTCTCCACCTCTTCACCATGGCTGCCTCCCTTGTTACAACGACCTTCACCATCATCTTTGCGTTGTTGCAGTAATACGTCCCAAAACTGATGTTCACAACCTTCAGGGATGCTCATTACGACATCCCGAAGCTTTATTACTGATAGATCATCAATCATTGCTGGCGTCAGAGTTATCTCAGGATTGGTGGCGGAACATTCTTTGTCACTAGAGTAAAACTGAGCTGCGACTTCTTCCCAGTGAGGAGGGAACCCCAGCACAAAAAAGTTACAGACCTGCGGAAAATGAAACACTCAGCTGATAAAGAATTGGAAAGCTCTGAGAATCTAATAAACTTGATGATAGTTAACACTACTTTACCGAAACGGGGAAGCCATTCTGTAGAGTGCGCAATCTGTTGATCATTCCACCAAGTATGACTGTGATTCCATCTGCGGTCTCCAGAGTGATGGAATCATGCCTTTCCACTATAGGCGCCGAGCAGAATTCTCTAGTTCCTAGCCTGTAAGTATGTGGGAGTGGCACCCAAAACATAGTAATCAATAGATTCTAACGAATAACTAGAAATGATTTCCAAGATATATACAAGAATAATACAGGATACATTCACCAAATCACTGGTTATTGCCATGGCCGCATGGATTAGTTCTCAGCTTAATATTTGAAGCTCTGATTAAAAAGTATCGTATTCGGAATGCTATCAACTTCTGAACACAATTCCGTTGATCTACCCAAACTTCAAACCCATAAAAAACTTCCATTTGAGATCACAAAATGAAGAATAGTACAAGATTCAATTTTTATAACCCTTACGAACTATTTGAATGAGCCCGGTGCTCTGGATAATCCATGCACACAGATGATTCACAAATGAAATTGAGTTTTCTTACTTACGGTCTAGCAGCAAAACCTTCGACGGCAATCCCATTACCTTCCGCCTGAACGAGCCACCAATTATTCATAGTTACCTGCCAATTCAGTTCAAGAATCAAAACAGCAAGTAAAGAAGCAGACCAGAGGGAAAGGAATGGGGGGAGGAAAATTCCAGAACAGAATCGGCTTTACTGATTTGAGGGAAAGTGAGGAAGCAGGGCTTTGGAGTGTGTTTGGAGAGAGAGTTTTCCGATTCGAAGCTTCTGCGTATGGGTTCTTTCTTCTTCTGCTGCTGCTTCCCGTCGCTGCCATTCCCTCACCAAGTGTTCCTGAATTCGATTCAAGTCAAAGCGAAACATTATTACTCAATTTTGCGAAAACCCTAACTTTATCACCCCACAAATTCGAAATTGCAGTAGCCTAGGGGTTTATGGAAGAGGGGAGGCCAGTAAGTTCGAGAAGAAGAAGAAGCAATCACCTGCTGGCCGTAGATCGAGAGAGGGAAAAGGCGGGAAGAGAAGCGTATGTCGGTATGTGGCGGGAGGGTTTTCGCGGTTTTTGGAACCCCCAAGGAGATGACTGATGAGCGGAGGAAGAACAAGTGTATTGGTCGGAATTTCTTCTCTAATTTTTTTAAACAATACAATCGACAAATTATTGGTGCGTTTGTTCGGGGAAAATTCAAAAATTTATGATCTTTTAAATCTCGTTTGAATAAATTTTTAATGTGATATTTATAGAGTTAAATATAAATAATTTATTAATTATTTATGTGGTATTTCAATATTATTTTATTGATAATTTGATTAAATTATCTCATTTGGTAGAATCATACATATATTGTATTTGGCAAAATATAGAGATAACATGAGTTATTTTGAAATAACATAGGAGTTATTTCAAATAAACGGTCCAAATAACTCATTTCAGTAAAAAGTTGTCAAACAATTATTATTTTGGAAAATACTCAATGTGAGTTACTTATTTATTTGAAACCGAATAACTCACTCAAATACTTCATCCAAATTCCAAATAACTCCTTATTATTAGCGAGAACAAGGAAGGTGACTTAATAAGTTAAGGAGAAATATGTGTTCTATAGGATCACAATGGTGTGAGTTTGCTTCAACCATCCTTCTTTTCAAACACTCAAAATCATACTTGCTTCATACTAAATTACTAATGCGCGAGAGGTTGACAATCTCAAACCCATAGCCATAATTTTAAAATACACATGGATAATATCCGCCCTAATTGTAACTACTAAGATATGATGACTTGCATTGGAACTAGTAGGTAACAAATGGAGTAGAAAAACTAAACCCGTGGTACGGGGTAAATTGTCAATTTGCATACTGGAATTACTAAATAGTTTTATATTTGTCACTATAATATTGTATTGCATTAGTGATCACTTAAATTAGTTCAACTTCTTTTCTTTTGATGTTTGGTTTGCTAAGTTCCCATGAGTTTTGTCAGTTTTTTTGCTGACTGACTAACAGAAGTGTCTAATCAGCCAAATTTAACCCACCATATCATGAAACGCGACATTGCGATCCTACATTAGCATGTCATAATGGGTAAATGCCACATTTGGTCACTGGGATTACTAAATCGTGTCATGTTTAGTCATTAAAAAAATTAATATCAATTTTGGTCACTCGAATTACTAAAACAGGTTACATTTAGTCACTCTTCCAGACTCCGTCCAACTCCGGTCACTCGAATTACTTTTTTTTTATTTTTATAAATGTCACTCGAATTACTGAAACATGTCACATTTGTTGGACGGAAACTAACCGGAGAGTGACTAAATGTGACATGTTTCAATAATTCGAATGACCAAAATTGATATTAACTTTTTTTAATAACTAAACATGACATGATTTAGTAATCTCGGTGATCGAATTTGGCATTTATCCCAGTTCATAATTTCTATAATTAAGCGGCTATTAGTTGACTTCTGTTATTCGTCCGCATCAGTCACATTGCACCAGCCAACTAACTGATCACCACCATTATCGATCTCAACTGAAAAACGTCAAACTTGACCCGCAGAATCGTTCATATTCAAGAAATCGCGCTTTTGGATTGTGATATGTAACCAGAAATGATGGGATAGGAGTCTACTACTATAATATAAGCATTGCGTTTGCGTGTGAAGGATTAGACCAATCAGAACAGAAACCAAATAAGCCCAACAAAGCGATCAAAAGTGGGAAACGAAGAAACCTGGAGAAAAGGTGGGCAAAAAGGCCGGTCTCTGATGTATGCTGCTGCTGTTGTTGGTTAGTATTATCGCCGACTAGCCAACTGAATGCAAATCCCAGAAGGGAAGGAACCCAAAAACAGAGTCGTGGAAAAAGACAGTTGATGATTCTTGGTTGATGAGGTAAGTAACAGGTTTGGTCATTAAGCTTTGGGGTTATAGGGAATTTGGTCACTGAACTTTGGGTATGTGTGTCGATTATAGTAAATATGGTATGGGTTATGACTTCATTTTTCATAATTAATTTGGTTAAGTTGACTCTATAATCTTAACAATTTGGAGTCAAAACGTGTTAAAAAAGATAAAGTTCATATGCCGGTAGTTTCATGGATGGTAAAAAATTTACCACACCCACCATTTTTACATCTATGGGTGGATTGGATGGAGGATGGCAACTGTTAGGTCGGGTTGATGGGAGAAATTTGTTTAAAAAAAAAATACAATATCATAAAGCTTACGAATTTACTAAAATTCAATAAAATCGATAACCATTAAGCATAATGTATTGCATAATTCAACATCAACCATCTCATTTGTGAACTACAAGCATTTCGTTCATAGTTATCTTAATTTTAAAACAACGGCAATCCAATTGTGAGTTAATCAGATTTTTTTCATTCTTACATTATCATTATGCCAATCCCTCGGGGTTTAGTATGTACAATTATAATTTTAAGTGGCTTCATGAGGAAGACGAAGTGACAATACCAAAGGAAATGGTTTGGTTCGCATTTTATCCCGACGGCGAATTCAATCTAGTTACGCATGTGAAACAGATAAGCAAAAATGGATGTTGTTCTTAGTGTTAGTGAAATCATAGTAGTATAATCCCATATATCAGTCTATCCATTGGTCAAAAGGCTATTCAAAATAATTTTATGCAAAATAATAATTATTTGATTGAATCAATGATAACTGACATTTCGAGACAAAAAAACAAAGGTGCATTACTATATACTATATTGTGCATATATGCGAAATAGTAAAATATCAAATGCTTTTGCGAATTAGTGACTCGCTTGCCACACCACTAAATTTTGTAGGTCACATAGAAAATGATCGACATCCACACATATTGCACATATTTAAATTGGGTAGATTTGACTATTTATCCACCCATTACCCATCCTTATCTCAGATCACCTATTGCCCATTCTAAGATGGAGTAGCAATTATGTTTGTTATACCAGAATTCAGTAGTAAGTACACTATACATAAAAATATAGTGACTCATTTCATTATGACCCCAAAGTTGAGTGACCATTGATGTAAATAATCCAGAAAAATGTCAGAAGGGACCTGCAGATTGACATTTAATTTGCCCCAAGCAATTGGCTGGCCCAATAAATTCCCCCTCTCCTTCCTCCCATTTCCTATCTCAGGCTAACTCATATTCCCACCACCACCACCAATGCAAAATCTCCATTGCCCAACAGCAACTTCTCCTTCTCCTTTATATAAATCCATCCAAAGGAAACAAAATTAACTTACAATTGCTCTTAATAACCCCATAAAGAAAAAAGAAAAAAAAAAGCTTTCAGATTCCCTCATCACCATGGGTCCTTTCTCTGCAACACCCTCATCTGTTGGGCTCCTATTCATCATCACCATTTCTGCTGCAACTCTACTTTCTCTCCTCCCACTTGCTAGTTCCATTCCCTTTATTGTTCTCCATGGTATGTTCTTCCTTTTGCCCTAAAGTATATTCCTTTCCCACATTTGGGTCATTGGCATTTGGCAGCAGAAAGTTTTAGTTCTGTTTTTTTTTTTTTTTTTTCCTCACAAACTAACAGTTTCTGTGCTGTGTGGGCAGGGATTGGAGATGAGTGTAAGAGTGGGAAAGTGAGTCATTTCACTCAAATGGTGGCCAATCTCTCTGGCTCACCTGGTTTCTGCCTGTGAGTGTACTCCCTGTTTTTCCATCACTAGGATTCCAAATCTCCCCTGTTTTACCCTTCTCTTTCTTTTTCTCTAGCCAAACTTTAAACTTTTGAACATAAAATGCAGGGAAGTTGGAAATGGGTACTGGGATTCTTGGTTCGTGCCCATGAAGAAGCAGGTGAGAACTGAGAAACCCTCATTTGCCTGTGGCCAACATTCGATTTAGCGTCGAGTTCGAACTTTGAGACCAACAATCGTTTCGTATTAAGAAAATGTCGAATGTTATTACTTAATAATCTTACCCTTCTTTCTTATACTCTTTTTTTTGCAGGCAGAGATGGTTTGCAACAATGTAGGAAGACCGCTGGCTTCTTTTCTCTCTTTCCAATGGGCTTAATCACCATTAACACTAATCATTCTTATGGTCTTAATGATTTGGAAATTTGGCAGGTGAAGACGATCGATGAGCTCAGCAACGGTTACAACATAGTTGGACTCTCCCAGGTTTCTGGTTCACTCTGTTAATATTATTTTAATAAAACGTGTTTGTTTGTAATTATTATTATTATGACAACAAAATGTTTGCGTGACATTAATTAATTAATTAAGATTATGAAAACAGGGCAACTTAGTCAGTCGAGCCGTGATAGAGTTCTGTGAAGATGGTCCTCCAGTAAGTTAATTAGAATCCTTAATCCTTCCGTTAACGCAAGATTATGAATTGATTAATCGGATCAATTATTTCATTAGCTTGTACGCAAAAGCCTAATAAAATGCATTCCAGGTGATGAACTACATTTCATTGGCTGGTCCTCACGCAGGCATTGCTTCCGTTCCCATGTGTGGCGTAAGTAATTAGTAAATACTAATTAGTGCAATTACCCGTCGATTAAAAACATTGTGATTTCCACGAAATACACTTGTGTTGAGTATTGTTATATTAATTATGGATGTGTTGCAGAATGGCACATGGTGCGAAGTAGCTGATGAACTCATCAAGGCGGGCATTTATACTGATTTTGTTCAGGTATATGAATTTACAAGAATTTGATATATGTGCAATTCGAATTAGTTATTGTGATGAATTAATTTTTTCTTGGTTGTGGTTGTAGGATCACTTGGCACCAAGTGGGTACCTAAAGTTACCAGATGTAAGCTTATTAATATTATAATCCATGTGATTTTCCTCCCTTCAAATTTTATGTAGGATTAGTGGATGATTTATATGTTTTTGAAAATTGTTAGGATATGTCTGCTTACTTGAGCAAATCCAAGTTCCTCCCACAACTCAACAATGAACATCCTGAAGCTAGGAACCCAACATTCAAGCAGAGATTCAGCGGTCTGAAGAATTTGGTGCTAATAATGGTTAGTGAACGAAACAATGAGGGACAAATGGTAAAAAGAAAAATTCCCCTTTGATACATTGTAACTTTCAAGTGTTTTATGCAAATTTTCAACAGTTTGAGGAAGATGAAGTGATTGTACCAAAGGAGACCGCCTGGTTCGGATTTTATCCCGACGGAGAGTTCAACCCAGTTTTACCGGTGCA